ATTTTTTTATAAAAAAAATTTCATTGCCTATTTTCATAAGGTATATAAAAAAAACACTCCGCCCTTTTTTTAATTTATGTAACATGTATGTTTAATGTAAATGTTAAAAGTATAATTAATATACTTTTTAATATTAATTAATATAAAAAATTATAAAAATTAATATTAATTTTATCAGTAATATTATATATATTGTTTTAATTAAACAATTAATTAAATAATTATCAAGTTTTATTTTTTCAATAATAATTAATATTAAAAATATTTATGTTAGAAAAACTTACTTTTTGTATTTACCATCAAATATCTTTGGGTGAGTTATTTTATATTTTTAAGTTAATTTCTTTTAAATGATTTTAAAATACACTCTCGTGTCATTTATTGCATTCAAGGAAATGCACTCCCGCATTACCTAATGAATTGAAAAATTAATTTTTTTAAATATTAACTTTAAAATTTAAAATTTAAATTTAATGGAAAATGATTTTGGGATAGTTTTTTTTACTATTTTTTGCTACAATCTGATATGCTATTTAAATGATTGATTTTTTAAATTCATGTAAAACTCATGATATTGAATGCATTAACTCATTTAATGACATGTAAAAATTATATGAAAAGGTAAGATAAAAATATTATCCCTATAGCAATGTCTAAATTTAATTTATAAAATAATATCTATTTACTAATAAATTTAACTTTTAAAATTAAAATACTTTAGATATTGTTTGGTGTTTGTAATACGGCGTTGCTATAAGAACAACATTTTTATATCATTTTTAATATAATTTTTATATGTTATTAAATGAGTTGATGTATTCAACATCATAAAATCCATATGAATAAAAAGAATCAATCATATAAATGACACATCAAATTATAAAAAAAAAAAATTATTCCAAAATCATTTTTTTTTTTGGAATATGTCCCTCAAGTAAAGAGCGTAGGTCTAAATGGTACTATTCAACGGTCTAATTAATGAGTTTACAATTTTGTAATTTGACCGGTTTATACATCATATTTTATATGTTATAATTATTGGTAAAATTATCTCAATGTCAAAAAAAATCATCTTTTATTAATAGTTAAAAAATATAAAATTCGTACGTACGGGACAGATTGCACCTCAGTTTTCTCCTAATTAATTATGAGTTTCGAAGTATTTTTATCGAAGTATTTTTAATTTCTTCTCGTTTTGTGCTTTCTAATATGATTAAGTGGGTTTGTTAAAATTTGAGTTTTCATGTGAACCGTACAAACCAATTCACCAATTTTAGATTCATTTTAATTTTCGAAATCTAAACTGTTCTTGCTTCCTAGAATCTTCCTACTTGTGTGTGTTTTTCTTTTAACTAATCGTACATAAATATCTGACAATTTTTTACCAATCTAGACATTTAAAATTAAAAAAAAAAAGCCTACAGTAATCTCTAATTAAAGTTACTCTCTTTCGTAAATTATAGTCATTGTACGTAATTACCATCTACTGTATTGCGTGGTTTTGTATTCTAATTGAGAATTTACTTATTCTCAAAGTTAGAGAATGGTGCAAACCTTAGAAGGTTATTGAAATTGTAAAATTACTTTGATGATACGTTTCCTCCCTTTTTAATTGGAAAATCACCAAACATGTGCTAGGCAAAATCTAGTGGCACCACCATCCCTTTAATAATTGGATTGAAAATAGCATTGCAACTCACGCAACCCCTTTTACCCGTCCCCAGTCCCCACTCCATAATTCATTCAAGCACGAGTCGATCAGACTCATCCTTCTGTTGCCATTCTCCCACGGTTCCGTCGCCCAAAAATCTTCCATGTCTCAGTCAATTATGTGCCCATTTGGTGTAGTTAAAACTTTTAATAGAAGTTTTATTAGAAAGAAATTATTGTAGAAGTATTATTTTGGTAAATAAAAAAATAAATATAAAATAAAAATAATATGTTAATTTTATTAAAACCCAAATGAAAAATTCCTACAGAAACATCAATTTAGTACTTCTGAGATTTATAATGAAATGAAGAAAAATTAACTTATGAAAAATTATAGTATTTTTCACTAGTTGTAATAGTTAATATAGTTTATACTTTTGAAACTAAAAAATCTTTCCCACAAATTGCACCAAAGATGTCCTACTGCACCAAACATGCCCTATATGTCATATCGTCGTCTAAGCACACGTATTTTCCCTATTCATGTTATAAAGGATGTCTTCGTCTAAACAAATGCATGGACCAACTGTTGCTGAATTACCCAAAGGAGGAAAAAGGAGTGCGGAATTATTAGTATCGGGGCATCGATTATGAAAGGGACTTGCACTAGGGAGAGAATATGATCAAGCGCGAGACCCACACCGATGACTGAACACTTTGTCTTGTTTCGATATCCAAGACGTTTTTTTATCTTACATGTACAAAATATCTAGCGAATAGAAAATTTTTAAACACAGAAGATAGAGTACTGTGAATCTGTGACGCCTTAATCTTACATTGAAAGAGATGTATGATATTGAGTGATGCATGGGTTTCCGGTCTGGCTGTATCACATTATATAGAAAGACAAGAGTTTTAAATGGGGGAAGTGTGGGAACATGCATTTGGTTCACAACTTCACATGGCCAAAAATTAGGTCTTCAACTTTTTCACTCTCGTTTCCATGCATATGCTTCACATGTATGTTTTATGTCATTTTGCTTTCATTGTCCCGACCATTTAAGACTGTCAACGTGTTAGGTCCATTGGATGTGAGTTAGGTAACAATTATATAGGAACTACGAAACCAGTGATAAATGGACGAAAACTTGCAGTTCTTACGTTTTAGGACCTCCACCTTAATTAACCATTGAGTCAGTATTTATTGACATGATGAGTTTTGTTATGTATTTATTTTCTTATACATCTAATAAATGAGGTTTTTTTTTTTTTTTTTTTTTTTTTTTTAAATATTTAAATTTAATACATCTAACTAAAATTTTAATTTTTCACCATTTGTGTGAAAATTATGCATATGGAGTCAATACAAATTTTATATTTAATTTAAAATTAATTGATAATAAATAAAATAATTTTACTTATATTTAATTTTTTTTATACTCAACATAAAATTTTTTCACTCAACAATTTGATACATTGAATCTCATAATTTTTTTAATCCATTTAAATACGATGAATTGAGCTTAGATTCTTTGATTTTCAAAGCTGAAAAATTATTATCACTGGCTACGGTATTAGGGAAATGTTCTCTACGTCATACCTATTAACACATTCATTGATTAGGTCAACCAAGAGGCTAACAAATCTATGCTCCATTCCTACTTGTTTAGTTGAATATTAACCTCAATGCGACTTGGAAAATGTCTCGAGATAATGACAATAATGAGTATAATAGCGGTTACGTGGTTCTCACTAACCACGCTAAATTATTGACCAAGTGGTGATAATTTATTATTTTTTGTTCTTCCATCATGTAATCGGTATATGCTTTCATTGATGTTCTTTTTCTTTTTAATTTATAATGGTGCGTCTATTGACATCTATGATTCCACTTCTTGTGCTACTGTAATCAAATTAATCAATATAAACAATCTACCCTTCTCTTACTATATCAAAAAGAAGTTTGGAATTGGACATATATAAATTTAATTAGTTATATGTGTAAACTGATTCAGAATATCAATTGAATACGAAAAAGATAAAGAAGCAAGAATGCATGGATTGGAAAATCAATATTGTATGTATATCTTTTGTATCAAGTGAGAATGTGATCTAGCAAGGACAGAGTCTATGAGAAATTTTGTGGACATTAGCTTGTTGAGGGATTGATGACGGTCAAAAAGGGACAAAATAAAGTTAACATATAGGTAGTGTTAGGTGGATGGTGGTTAGTGGGTTAAGTATTGGAAACCAGAAGGACAATAATGAAATATATCGAGAGAGTTCTTCAGAAAATTTTGTTGGAAGCGAATCAATAAAGGAGACATCTTCATCCATTACAAAAAGCAGATGTGTATTAATGATTTATTGGTTCAAATAAAAGAAATTTAATTTTTTTCAAATAAAGTCTTATATTTAAATCTTATGAATGAACAAAAAGATGTTAGAAGAACTTCTTTTTTATGGGGTTCAACACAACTTAATTCTAAATTAATTGAGATTTAATATGACTTTTGAATAGTAAGGGTTAGTATAAAAAAAACATACACACACATACACACATGTGTTAAAGACCAAAAAATGTGTTGGCCAAAAAAGTTTAAAAAAATGCATATTAAAAGAAATTCAATTAAGTTGTACTAAGTGATAAGATCAAAGTTTATACTGTGACTTATCTTATCTCTAACATCAAAATAAAAAATCCTCAATCCCTCTTATGCTAATACATCAGATCTGTAAATATAGTCCCTATCAAAGAGCTTTTGCTAAATTTGCTACTCACTCTCGTTTCAGAATAATACACATGTTTTTATATTTAGAATTTGCCTTAAAATAATAGTCATTTTTTTTTTATTTTAAGGGAGACAAATAATTTTTTCTTATTCTAACCTTATTATTATCTTGTAGTTTTAATTATTCATCATCTAATTAAAATAGTTATTTATTTTTATTTATTTTTCAAGAGTAAAATAGGTAAAAATATTTTTTTAAAATTCTTAATTTGAAGATAAAATAAATAAAAAAAATCTATTATTTTGATGCAAAAGAAATACTAATTAGTTGGGGTAACATTTTACTACTATAGTAAATATAGTACCCCTAGTAAAAATTTTCGAAAAAACAATTATGAAATAAGTTTTGTGTACTATTTTATATGTAATTTAATTATTGGCTCATTTCACTTTATTAAACTATGTGATAATATATACATATATTCATTTCATAATATATAAAAATT